GCTTGTGGAACTCTTTGAAACATGGGTATATGCAGAGGGGCACTTCACACTCCTCACACATAAAACGAGTGTCTCTGCGTGTTTGTGGGCATTTTGTGGTATGCATACATACATAACATCTCTTCTGAGCATTTTTCTTGGCAGTAGTAGGAGGCAGTTGTATGGGGTAGTGATCACCAGGCCTGAAACGAGATGACGTGTGTGGGCGCTGGTCTATTGCAGGAGTTCCTCCTTGGTACTTTGCAATTATTTGTCTGATTATTGACAGGCAAAATTCACCATATTTTGGTGTTTTGTTGGTCTTCAACTTGTATATGTTATAAGCATTTAGCATAGAGATATCAACAAGATGGAAAAAAAGTTTTATATACCACTTATAACTCTTGCGTACACAGTCTGCGAACCCAATCTGCATGTCACATTTGTCCACTAAGCGCATATTGAGGTTGTAGTCCATGACAGCTGCAGGCTTTAGAATGGGTTCATTGGTCTCTCTGTTGTCCCTGCCACTGGGTACCATTTCGTTTATGCGAACTGATGTTAACAATGTGACATCACGTTTGTCATGCCACCGAAATGCCATGATGTCATTGGCAGCAAAGGCTTGCACCTCACCTCTGCGAGTGCCAGCGTCGAACCTTGGCATATGTTTACGATTACGACGCACTGTGCCACACACGTCTGTCAAGTTCACTCGCAAGAAATCACTGAGTAAGGGGCTTATGTACCAGTTATCAGTAAATAACATATGCCCCTTACCAAGATATGGTTCCATCATTGTTCGAACCACATCACCAGAGATACCCAATAACTTCATGGTATCTCTCAAAGTTATTACTGCCAGTGTACACAATGATATCCAAAACTAGACCACTTCTGCAATCACACAGTACAAATAGCTTTATACCAAAGCGTTTCCTCTTGCTTGGTATATATTGCTCGAATGAGAGTCTTCCTTTGAATAAAATCAAGGACTCATCAATAACAAGCTTCCTGAAGGGATAAAAATACATGCAGCACTTTTGTTTCAGGTACATAAACACATTTCTGATCTTATATAACCTGTCGCTTCTGTCAGGCCTGGTTTTGTCTGAAAAGTGTAACATACGTAACAGTATCAGGAAACGATTGACACCTATAATGTCACTAAAACCTGGAGTTGAAATCAGGCATTCTGTTGCCCAGTATGTTGTGACAGTGTGCTTATACACATGTGGCATAAGCATTATTGTGGCAAAAAACAGGTACATCTCTGCCACAGTTGTCTCCTTCCACTTGTGTAGCTGTGATTTTGGTAAGAGAATTGTATTTGCCATGGTGTAATCACAGTATGTGTTTGTTTCCCTGACAATGATGTCCATCAGGGGTTCATCGAAGAATAACTCAAAGCAGTCCAGTTCACTGGCATTGTTCCCAAGTGGACAAGATGGCTTTATTCCACTTTGTGTTTCATCAAAGTCATGGGGACTGGGAACAAACTCGTCACCGTCCTGCCAATCCCAGATGCGGTCTGCTGGTGGGGTCTGGATATTGTACCGTGGTTGTGGTTGCACAGGTTGTGGTGGTGCAGGTTGTGGGAGTGTGGGGTAGGGTGAGGCTGGTTGTTGTGCAGAGTCAGCAGCGTGGGTAGTAGCGTGGCCCGCTGATGGTGCCACATGGGCCGTGCCACCCTCACTATCACCACCACTGCCTGCTCCATCACTCACATCATTCATACCCATCGTTACAATATCATCATCCTCACTATCAGGTCGTGGTGTAGGGCCACGGGATGTGCTCCCAGAGTTTCTCCTTCCCCTTGGAACAACATATGAAACACTACCAGACCGCATGCTACATCGTACATACTGCCGCTTCACTGGGGAACATTCACTCTCACTGTCACTAGAACTGCTTTCAGTGACCTTGAAATCACTATCACTGCTAACATCTGGGTGTTGTACACGACCAATTAGTTTCCTCTTTCGTCCTGGTACAGGCGAACGTGAACGTGAACAAGCCGGCCCAATGGAAATGTTTGATTTTTGCCGATGTTCTAGAGTAAACAAATGTGTCCAACTAGCCATTCTAATATGCAGTCGTGAATGGGTTGAGATTATTTATACAATTATTACAATAATGCAGTAGTCTGTGTAACAGTAAATCTTCTATTTTTTGTGTGAATAAAAGTTCAAAATAGAAAGCAAGAGTAATATAAGAGGGGCTTGGAGATGTGACTAATGAACAGAGAAAATGTTATTTTAGTTCTGTGAATGTATAATGTAAATACAATTATCCATTCCTGACACCCAGAAGTATTAAAACAAAAAAAAATTTTTGCTTGAAATATAGATGTAGTACATAAACAGTACATTGGCACATGATGAATGAAACATTAACAACATAACACTTACATTTATTGGCAATTCTTCTTAATGTATGGAAGACTGGAGGAGGAGAGAGATTGAATTACTGTTTGGAAAGGGAATCCAGTTCCATCAACACCTCAGGTACCAAGTGCTTTTTTGGGGTTACTTCTCTTCTCTGTTTCTTAATGCCACTAGGACCAGCTTGAGAGTCACTGGAGTCCTGTCTCACAAAAAACCTGTCCAGAGAGCTCTGTTTCTGGCATCTCTTTAAAACTTCCCTAAAATGGGCCAAGACTCTGTCACTATACAAGTTGCTGATATGGCTTGCAACATCCTTCTCAGGGTGATGTTTCTCCATAAATCTTTCCATCCTACCCCACAATTCTAAACTCTCCTTAATTTCTGAAGAAGGCACCTTCTTCCATCTCTCTTCCTCCTCCTCTGCAGCAAGATTCTGAGCTGCGATCTGTTGCTGTTCCTGCTGAAGCTCTTGCAGCTCCTCAGTGGTTAGCTCTTTGTTGTGGTCCCCCACCAACTCTTCCACATCCTCCAAACTCACATCCAACCCCATGGAACTCCCCAATGCCACAATAGATTTCACAACTGACATAGGCTTATCAGGGTCAGCCACAAACCCTTCAAAATCCCTCTTGTGGACACAATCTGGCCACAATTTTCTCCAAGCAACAACAGCTTCCTTGATTTCCTTTTTCTTTGCCACGATGGAAGATATGGTTGTATGGGGTTTGTTATACATCCTGGCCAGTTCGGCCACACGTGCACCACTTTCATATTGTTCAGTGATGTTTTTCTTATATTCATTCGTATTTCTCACCTTCTTTACCAAAGGCTTGGCACTAGGAACTTTCTTTGGAACCATGGTAGCTTATTTAGCACTTGCAAGCACTAAAATGAATGGAATATTATGAAATATTTCGTATGAACATGTGAGGGGACCATTGCTCACTGGTAAACAATGGCACACTTGCTGGGAAGGGAGGCAGAGGCGGCTCAGAGCCGTGAGTACGCATCCAGGACGAAGGACAATTAGCGAGTTAATGGACCATTTGCGAGCCAATGTTTAGACGAAATAATGTAACGATTTCCGAAATGGACGACTTTCAGGCCGGACGATTATTGAGGGACCACTGTAATTGCTCTCAATTGTTTTAGCACTGATAGTGGAGTTTGGTAATCTGAAACACATGGGTGATAAATGAAGATGTTTGGATATTAAGTGAAGAAGTTGACTGCTGCTTTGGTATTTCTACTCCTTATTCTTCTTAGATTCCCATGAGGATGAAAATTTCTCCTGCAAGTTATAGAAAAAATTGTATTTATAGCATAACTTTGACCTATATTGGAATACACATCTGTAGTATGAAGGACACATTTAAAAAAAAATAAAATTATTGAAAACAGTAAATTTGTTTTTGGTGGAAGATAGAAGAAGAGACATAACTTAAAAGTTCACAACATACTGTGAAAACACAAACAGGAAAATCTTTTGGAAATTTCAAGATGAGAAATAATGTAAACACAAAGTAAAGTAGTAGCAGTGTGCTAAATTTCTTCACTAATGCTAATGAGCAGTTGAAGAATGGACAGAACTGCCAGAGGTTGTGCACAAAACTACTGTTGCAAAAGTTTAAACAATTAAGATAAATTGTACATGAATGGTATACCGACAAGTTGAAGAATTCGACGTGTGCAACTTTTTGGTATATTTATTTATAGATGTTTCACCATCCAGTGGTTCTAGCAATGCAAATTCAAGGAAATAATGAGAAGACTGTAGGGCTATATGCAAAAGACAAGGCAATCAGTCCCTCAGCCTTCAAGTTGGTGTTAAGCACCGTAGTCTTGACTACAGTGCTCATCACTAACTCCAAAGTTAAGGGACTGATTACCTCGTCTTTTGTGTGTAGTTCAACAGTCTTCCCAATATTTCCTTGAATTTGTATTGCAAAAGCCACTGGGCAGCAAAATGTCTACAAATAACGATACCCAGATGTTGCCCACATGTATATCTAATTCTTCAACTAAGACAGAAAAAGATGACAAAACATGAGAGTAGCTATGTTCCTATAACCACAAGTGAATTCACAAATTAAAGCAAGTCATTTTATACATTTGTATATAAAATTTGTTACATGGCAGCATCTTCAGTTATTGGGATATGTGGTTTGAGATTCGATTTTGTGAAATCTATATTAAAAATAAGTTTTTATACTGTGCTAATTTAAAGATATTATTTAGCTTTTATTCTTGATACATTGGTGTCAAATCTGCAGTTTGTGTATCTAATCTTTGTAAACCTTTTAACAATCATAAGAGATGTTTGAGGGACACGTCTTTTGATTTTTGTTTGATATCAAATGGTGATGCAGTTTGAATCACTCAGTAGATTGCATGTTAAAGTGATACTCATGTACAAATTGGCATAATTTCATCTACTGGTTTGCTTTTAGTTGAAATTATAGGCAATTGATTTAATCAAGTTGTATTTGCACCAAAAGCTAATGATTAATGCTGTATATTGGTTTTCCTCATAATTTAGAAGATTCAGAATGTATTGCTGAAGGTGTTCGCAAGGCTTTGGCTTGCCAAACTAATGTTCTATCCTCTGTTTGGGTTAATATGACCTTCCAGGTCGCAGCGAGCGCGAGTGGTCTGCTCCCCCCAGCTGCGACGCAGGTGGGGGGGAAGATAGCCAGGATGGGGATAGGGGTGAGCGGGGCACGGAGAGCCTTCCGCACTCCCCGGCTAAGGCCACTCCAGGCCGTGTGACTAGTGCCCCCACCAGCCCCACAGCAGCAGATGATCCAAGCCTGGCACGCACTGTATTCCGCTCGTCAAAGTGTAGGGTTAACCTGCCTCATTTGTGACTTAATTTCTTATTATAATTTACAATTTTTTTAAAGGTTGGTTTGGTCACTGGTAATGTTAGTTATATAGCATATCTACAGTTTATGCATGTATGCATATATGTATGGATATTCTTGTGTGTTTGTCCTGGATACAATATATGTAAAAGAAAAAAAGAGGAAAATATAATGCGGCAGAAAACTATACATGCATGACATGTGTGTCTAAAGTAATTATAGATTGTACTAATAAAAACAATTTGAAAATAATAATTGGCAACAACAAGTAAGAGGGAGGTGAAAGTGTATAAACTAAGGGAGGAGAAAGTTTGGGTGAGATATAAGCGACTATTGGCAGAAAGGTGGGCTAGTGCAAAGATGAGTAGTGGGGGGGTTGAAGAGGGTTGGAATAGTTTTAAAAATGCAGTATTAGAATGTGGGGCAGAAGTTTGTGGTTATAGGAGGGTGGGGGCAGGAGGAAAGAGGAGTGATTGGTGGAATGATGAAGTAAAGGGTGTGATAAAAGAGAAAAAGGTGGCTTATGAGAGGTTTTTACAAAGCAGAAGTGTTATAAGAAGAGCAGAGTATATGGAGAGTAAAAGAAAGGTAAAGAGAGTGGTGAGAGAGTGCAAAAGGAGAGCAGATGATAGAGTGGGAGAGGCACTGTCAAGAAATTTTAATGAAAATAAGAAAAAAATTTGGAGTGAGTTAAACAAGTTAAGAAAGCCTAGGGAAAGTATGGATTTGTCAGTTAAAAACAGAGTAGGGGAGTTAATAGATGGGGAGATGGAGGTATTAGGTAGATGGCGAGAATATTTTGAGGAACTTTTAAATGTTAAGGAAGAAACAGAGGCAGTAATTTCATGCACTGGTCAGGGAGGTATACCATCTTTTAGGAGTGAAGAAGAGCAGAATGTAAGTGTGGGGGAGGTACGTGAGGCATTACGTAAAATGAAATGGGGTAAAGCAGCTGGAACTGATGGGATCATGACAGAAATGTTAAAAGCAGGGGGGGATATAGTGTTGGAGTGGTTGGTTCTTTTGTTTGATAAATGTATGAAAGAGGGGAAGGTACCTAGGGATTGGCAGAGAGCATGTATAGTCCCTTTATATAAAGGGAAAGGGGACAAAAGAGACTGTAAAAATTATAGAGGAATAAGTTTACTGAGTATACCAGGAAAAGTGTACGGTAGGGTTATAATTGAAAGAATTAGAGGTAAGACAGAAGTAGGATTGCAGATGAGCAAGGAGGTTTCAGAGTGGGTAGGGGATGTGTAGATTAAGTGTTTACATTGAAGCATATATGTGAACAGTATTTAGATAAAGGTAGGGAAGTTTTTATTGCATTTATGGATTTAGAAAAGGCATATGATAGAGTGGATAGAGGAGCAATGTGGCAGATGTTGCAAGTATATGGAATAGGTGGTAAGTTATTAAATGCTGTAAAGAGTTTTTATGAGGATAGTGAGGCTCAGGTTAGGGTGTGTAGAAGAGAGGGAGACTACTTCCCGGTAAAAGTAGGTCTTAGACAGGGATGTGTAATGTCACCATGGTTGTTTAATATATTTATAGATGGGGTTGTAAAAGAAGTAAATGCTAGGGTGTTCGGGAGAGGGGTGGGATTAAATTTTGGGGAATCAAATTCAAAATGGGAATTGACACAGTTACTTTTTGCTGATGATACTGTGCTTATGGGAAATTCTAAAGAAAAATTGCAAAAGTTAGTGGATGAGTTTGGGAATGTGTGTAAAGGTAGAAAGTTGAAAGTGAACATAGAAAAGAGTAAGGTGATGAGGGTGTCAAATGATTTAAAAAAAAATTGGATATCAAATTGGGGAGGAGGAGTACGGAAGAAGTGAATGTTTTCAGATACTTGGGAGTTGATGTGTTGTCGGATGGATTTATGAAGCATGAGGTTAATCATAGAATTGATGAGGGAAAAAAGGTGAGTGGTGTGTTGAGGTATATGTGGAGTCAAAAAACGTTATCTATGGAGGCAAAGAAGGGAATGTATGAAAGTATAGTAGTACCAACACTCTTATATGGGTGTGAAGCTTGGGTGGTAAATGCAGCAGCGAGGAGATGGTTGGAGGCAGTGGAGATGTCCTGTCTAAGGGCAATGTGTGGTGTAAATATTATGCAGAAAATTCGGAGTGTGGAAATTAGGAAAAGGTGTGGATTTAATAAAAGTATTAGTCAGAGGGCAGAAGAGGGGTTGTTGAGGTGGTTTGGTCATTTAGAGAGAATGGATCAAAGTAGAATGACATGGAAAGCATATAAATCTATAGGGGAAGGAAGGCGGGGTAGGGGTCGTCCTCGAAAGGGTTGGAGAGAGGGGGTAAAGGAGGTTTTGTGGGCAAGGGGCTTGGACTTCCAGCAAGCGTGCGTGAGCGTGTTGGATTGGAGTGAATGGAGACGAATGGTACTTGGGACCTGACGATCTGTTGGAGTGTGAGCAGGGTAATATTTAGTGAAGGGATTCAGGGAAACCGGTTATTTTCATATAGTCGGACTTGAGTCCTGGAAATGGGAAGTACAATGCCTGCACTTTAAAGGAGGGGTTTGGGATATTGGCAGTTTGGAGGGATATGTTGTGTATCTTTATATGTGTATGCTTTTAAACTGTTGTATTCTGGGAACCTCTGCAAAAACAGTGATAATGTGCGAGTGTGGTGAAAGTGCTGAATGATGCTGAAAGTATTTTCTTTCTTTTTTTGGGTCACCCTGCCTCGGTGGGAGATGGCCGACTTGTTGAAAAAAAAAAAATTGCATAGCTATAAAATTTGCAGCTAAAAGATAAATTTCAAATAAGTTAAAAGTAAGAAATGTTGCACAATTAGAAGTAAAAGAACAGTAATAATTTTTTTTTTTTTAACAAGTTGGCTGTCTCCCACCAAGGCAGGGTGACCCAAAAAGAAAGAAAATACCCAAAAAGAAAATACTTTCATCATTCAACACTGTCACCTCACTCTCACATAATCACTCTTTGCAGAGGTGCCCAGATACAACAGTTTAGAAGCATATATAAAGATATATACATTCCCCTCCAAACTGCCAATATCCCAGACCCCTCCTTTAGAGTGCAGGCATTGTACTTTCCATTTCCAGTACTCGAGTCCGGCTATATAAAAATAACTGGTTTCCCTGAATCCCTTCACTAAACATTACCCTGCTCACACTCCAACAGCTTGTCAGGTCCCAAAAACCATTCGTCTCTATTCACTAATATCTAACACGCTCACACATGCTGAAGTCCAAGCCCCTTGTCCACAAAACCTTCTTTACCTACTCCTTCCAACCTTTTCAAGGATGACCCCTACCCCGCCTTCCTTTCCCTACAGATTTATATGCTCTCCAAGTCATTCTACTTTGATACATTCTTTCTAAATGACCAAACCACCTCAACAAACCCTCTCCAGCCCTCTGACTAATACTTTTAGGAACTCCTCACCTACTCCTAATTTCCACACTCCAAATTCTCTGCATAATATTTACACCACACATTGCCCTTAGACAGGACATCTCCACTGCTTCCAGTTGCCTCCTCGCTGCAGCATTTGCAACCCAAGCTTTACACCCATGTAACAGTGTTAATACCACTATACTCTCGTATATTCCCTTCTTTGCCTCCACTGATAATGTTTTTTGTCTCCACAGATACCTCAATGCACCACTCGCCTTTTTTCCTTCCTTAGCAAGAATCCTCCTGAAAACAGTAACCCCTGCCATCACATAGTCTCTCCTGTTAATACTACACAAACACATTACAGAGGATGAACATTGATACAGGCCTTCTCTAATCCTGTCTCCAATAGAAATATTTGCTTTACCTATTTTTATGTTACCCAGGTAATAGCTTTTATATCCTTTTACTCATGTGCAAGCTAATTGTTCTACCATATTGTATTACTACTACTACAACTTATATCACAACTACTACCATTGTATTGCACCTCACTCTAATCCTATATATACCCTCTGTGTTCATGTACTGTTTGTAACGGCTTGACAAAGCTCCTGGAGAGCGAAACGTTGCCACAATAAAATGACACATTAGTTGCACTTGTGTCCTTTTACTTTACATATTGCCAGTAATTCCACCAACATATATACAGGTGCATAAATGCTTACTATAACCTACTTTTCACATCCAACCCTTATTTTACTCCACATAATCCTTGAATTTTTATATTTATATTCCCTCTTTTCCTGCCATAACTTATCCTTCAACATTATTGCTACCACTCCTTTATCTCTAACTCTATTTGAACCCCTGACCTAATCCCATTTATTTCTCCCCACTGACTCTCTCCCACCCCCTTCAACTTTGTTTCACTTAAAGCCAGGACATCCAGCTTCTTCTCATTCAAAACATCCACAATCATCTCTTTCTTATCATTCACACAACATCCACGCACATTCAAACATCCCACTTTGACGGTTTTCTTCTTTTTCTTTTTAGTAGGCTATACATGAAAGGGGTTACTAGCCCATTGTTCCCGGCATTTTAGTTGACTTTTACACCATGCCTGAGTTATGGAGGAAAGATTCTTATTCCACTTCCCTGTGGATATGAAAGGAAAGGCAATAACAAGAACTATTAAGATAAAATCAAAGAAACCTCAGATGAGTGTGTATACATAAATGTGTACATGTATGTGTAGTGTGACCTAAATGTAAGTAGAAGTAGCAAGATGTACCTGAAATCTTGCATGTTTATGAGACGAAAAAGACACCAGCAATCCTATCATCGTGTAAAACAATTACAGGCTTTCGTTTTATATTCACTTAGCAGGACGGTAGTACCTCCCTGGGTGGTTGCTATCTACCAACCTACTACATAGAATAATAAATATGGTCCAAAATTCAATGCAGAAAGTTTGTTGCATCAAACACAGTACCACACACACTTTAACAGGAATACTGTATGTTGGTATAAACCTTGGTAATTAATACCAACAACCTGATTTGAAAAGACACGTGAGCAGACTCTAG